CGAAGATCAACGTATAAAAAAATAGTGACATACAAAGATTAACATTATGAGATAAGTTATCCGCATCAACACGTTCTTACTGCGTTATACTAAAATGTACTGGCCTTTTATGATCGAACATTGTGGAGTAGAACATTTTACGAAACATATTTTTATCAATGGTTTATATAATATACAAAAAAGATATTTAAGGGCAAAAGTTACTAACGATATTATGTGCGGTTCAGCACTAGTCATTTTAAATTCATCTAACTTTTTACAGTCGTATCGCCCGCCGAAGAGCCGCTTATAGGTTGGACCGATAATTATTTCGGCCCCGTGGGATTAATAGCGTATTATTTTAAAGGAATAACGAAATATTTATGGATTGATTCTAAATGCACAGCTAACTTAGTGCCTGTTGATAAAACCATAAATGCTCTAATTGTTTCTGCGTGGGACGTCTTTAATAAATCAAAGAGGTACCGTTCAAGTTTAGCTAACAATGAGAAATCTGCACAAATAGTATAATCTGTGGAAAGTATTAAATTATGATTAGGGGCAAATTTACACGCGCAATAGTCAGAAGTGTCCGCAATGATGAAGTGCAATGACTAAGCCCGTGTAAATTATCCGTGTAAATTACCTCGACAAATAAGGAAACGGCAAAAAAGGGTATTATTATTCATGAATTATTATTATCAATCATGAGTTAAATTTTTTACCTATTATTACTGTACTCGACTATATATCTTGGAAACACATTACTTTACGTGATATTTTATTTTAATGCCAAAATTCATATATCCCCATGTCACATACAATTCGCATATCCGTAACTTTTCGTTTTAATACGGAACTTAAGTTTTTAAATATATTATTTTATTGTCGCATGAAAATTAAATGATCAACTATTATGTTTGTTATCTAATAATCAATTATTATGTTCTATACGAGAAAAAAGATCCATTTTAATTGGTCAAACGTTAACCTGGAATTATTGTATATAGTGCCTACCAAAAATTCCGAACCATCTAAATAATTTTTGAATAGTTTGAAATGTAGGATTGAAATTTATAGGGGTACAATGGGATCACAAAGTCTATTATTTAACCACAAAAATAGCCACCTCCACAGCCCTGGAAGACGGGGGAGAGGAGAGCCAAAGAATTTTAAATCGTATGTGGGGTTGGGTGAGAGTTCGTTCGAAAGGACTTTCCGAGACGAAAACAAAGCGATGTCGCCAAGGTCTCTACGTTATTTCTCGCAGAGTTATGATCATTTGAACATTTCTATTGAGATTTTGCGATAGCGAGGGCCCACGGCGACAACAGAAGAAAGATAAGGCTTTACGCGGGCACGCGCGTTCCTGTGTGTGGTGTGTGTGAGTGTGTGTGTGTGTGTGTGTGTGTGCGTGTGCGTGTGCGTGTGCGTGTGCGTGTGCGTGTGCGTGTGCGTGTGCGTGTGCGTGTGCGTGTGTGCGTGTGCGTGTGCGTGCGTGCGTGCGTGCGTGCGTGTGCGCGTGCGTGCGTGCGTGGCGTGTGCGTGCGGCGTGCGTGCGTGCGTGCGTGCGTGCGTGCGTGCGTGCGTGCGTGCGTGCGTGCGTGCGTGCGTGCGTGCGTGCGTGCGTGCGTGCGTGCGTGCGTGCGTGCGTGCGTGCGTGCGTGCGTGCGTGCGTGCGTGCGTGCGTGCGTGCGTGCGTGCGTGCGTGCGTGCGTGCGTGCGTGCGTGCGTGCGTGCGTGCGTGCGTGCGTGCGTGCGTGCGTGCGTGCGTGTGTGTATGTGTGTGTGTGTGTGTGTGTCAACATAGATAAGGATCCCACGATTCGTCAGTCTCGTAGTATTTAACGACTCCAAACACACGCGCGCGCGCGCACACACATACAACAAAGAGAATTTGGAGTCGTTAAATATTACGAAACTGACGTAAGGTCCTTATCTTTATTGACACATACATACACACACGCATACATACACAGGAATGCGCGTGCCCGCGTGAAGCCTTATCTTTCTTTTGTTGTCGCCGTGGGCCCGCTATCGCAAAATCTCAATAGAAATGTTCAAATGATCATAACTCTGCGAAAAAAATCGTAGAGACCTCAGCGACCTCGCGTTTTTTTTATCTCGGAAAGCCCTTCCGAACGAGCCCTCACTCAACCCCACATGCGATTTAAGATTTTTTAGTTCCCCCCTCCCCCGTCTTCCAAGGGTGTGGAGGTGCGTATTTTTGTGGTTAAATAATAGACTTTGTGATCCCATTGTATCCCCATAAATTTCAATCCTATATTCAAACCATTCAAAAATTATTAAGGTGGCCCTGAACTTTTGGTAAGCACTGTATAACACTTGTACGTCGTAATAATCCTCCGAATTACGTTAATATATTTTCGTTGCAAATAATTCTTATATTTTATGTCAATTGTTGTCGCAGGAGAAGTGAGGGAACGTTGATTTACAATTACGTATCGTCCAATGATGCGCCCTTAACTTGGGGCAAATATTTTGATACAGCGCAAAAAATCTCTGAAAAATACCAGCTAAAACATTCGAGTCGAACTATTACATTAATTAACAATAACATTTTATTCAACTTCTGCTCCAGGCTTGCTCACACCTTATCTGTTACATTGTTCAACGGGACGAACGACGTCGATAAACAAAGGTATGTCAAGATGATTTATGATATCAAGGTAGTCTCATTACATTATATATCTGATTCAGAATACGAAGAATATACAATAAATTTCATCATACTATGAATACTATTGGGTATTGGGGAGTCAACGAGTGGACTTACACTAACGACAATGTTCATGCAATGTGGTATAATTTGGACAAAAGGGATAAGCGTCTATTTAATTTTGATATGCAAGGATTCAATTGGCCGAACTATTTGGATGGACATTGTAAGGGCATACTCACATATCTATTTAAAGAAGATTTGAATATTTTGGAAGTCAAAAATCGTGCAAAAATATAGGAAAAGAGGTAAATGTAACGAAGTCTCACTTTGCAAAATTCGAAAAAATTTATTATTTATTTGTTTATATATTATTTATTTATTTATTTATTTATTTATTATTTCTTTTGTTAGAAGCACAAGTACATTACGTCATTGTTTTTAGAATAACTATTTATAAAATTGTACAGCATGTTTACTATATAATTATACATTGCAGGCAGTTTCATCTCAACAACATAACAATATTGAGCTTATTCTCATTAATCATTTTGTTCATTTGGCTAATAGTGATGCCTATAGTTATATGAATATAATATTGACATATGTGTAGCTGTAATATTAACATTTGTTATTAATATCACATATGTGCGGTAATGGTAATATTTCTTTCTATATCTCTATAAACAACCTAAGTCTGATTTTTAGACTTAGGTTGTTAATTACATAAAATACATAAAATAATAATTACATAAAAATTACATAATTACATAAAAATGAATAAGATAAATAAGACCTATAAAGAGAATTTCCCAAATAAACCATGGTAGCAAATCATGTCAATTCTAATATACTTACGTAAATATTTTGAAATATTTAAGTATTTCGATAATACATAAATATATCGCACAAAGTATTAACTGTATAAAATTAAGTTTAATCTAAAATAAATAAAATAATTATTCAAAAAGGAGACTCCCTGATTGTTACAAACATTGTTACATTGCCCATTTTAACGAACGATATAAACGCATGAATGCAAAAACTATACTGAGAGAAGAATATTTGATATTCTTGAATTAACAATAAAGTAATTAAAGTTAAAAAATCCGTTTTTATATATGCACTTATGCTTTGTATAATTTATCTAAATATTTATTTCGTTGTCACGGACACAATGAGCGAACAATTGTAACTCTATTAGTTGTCAATGCCACGAACGAATGTCCGGAGCGGACGGGAATTGAGATGCACGACGAAAGGAACGGGACGCGAGCAACGATACATCATGCGTCTCCAGACGTGTCAAATCGTTTATTACACAGGAGACTTTGATACGGCAACATGTATTCGAAGATTTAATATTTAATACGTACTTTTATTTTTCCTGCTCCTCCCCCTCTCCCTCCTGCTTTTTTAGACCTCCGGGCATAGTCTGGCGTAGAAATGGCAACTGTGGTTGCAGCACGATCATAAACCGCCTGAAAGTGAATGTAGCACAGACTTTCACCACATGGAGATTTTACCACCGAGATCTGAAAGTGGATGTAGCATCGTTCCCCTCTCAAAATGGATGCAGATGGCGTCCTTTCCCAGTGCGGAAAGTCGGTGTCGCAGAAAATGCCGTGTTGGCTGTTCTCAGGTTTCTCTCTTGGTCTGTTCTTTGTAACTCCCCTTAACGCAGCTGGAGAATGGCGTATGGATACACCTTTCTACCTAAAGCCATATACCGAACTGAACTGAACTGTTTTTTGTAGCTGCACTGCTGTACTGGTGCAATAAGTTAGAATGAGAAAACCTATATTTGACTCACTTTAACTTATTACACCAGTTCAATAGTGCAACTACAAAGAACAGACCATCTGCTAGCAGGCACTGTCAGAAACCTAAAGCCATATAGTGAACGAAACCGAACGAAACGAAGGACATTCCTGAATGACGATGGCTGCGTTCAGCAGAACAAAGTGATCAGTGAGCGCTTAGTGATTCTCGCTCCTGATTGGTAAATACTTCTGGGTCTATGAAGAATCTAAAAGAATGCTCCAATCACAGACAATAATCACTAAGCGCTCACTGATCATTTTGTTCTACTGAGGCCCAGTTTCACAACTTGCTTTAAACGGAGTTTAAAGCAAGTTGTGGAACTGGGCCTGAATGCAGCCATTGGCTGCGTAGAACAACAAGTGATCAGAGAACACTTAGTGATTATTGTCTATGATTGGAGCATTCTTTTAGATTCTTCATAGACCCAGAAGTATTAACCAATCAGGAGCAAGATTCAGTAGAAAATCTAGTAATGTTGTCCAACTGTTGAGTCTGCTGAATGCAGCCATTGACTGGCGTAGGAGCGGAATTGTTCTACTTGGAGCCATCTATTGAACCATGAACCATGAACCATGAAACGAAAGGCACTGTCAGATGTGTTTTTAAAAATGGCTCAAGACGATGCTGTTGACGAACTTATGGAGACTGAGATTTTGCCGTCTACAAGCAGCAACGATGTAAAAGTGAAAGAAAAAGATAGTAAATCATCCAGTCTACCATGGTATGTCTTATCTCTATAAAAGAAAATTATATTTTTTATTAATTCTTTGTACAATAAATTTAGATTCTTAATCAAGAGTATATTGTTATTAGGATCGAGAAATATCGGCCACAAGTATTTCCAGACATTGTTGGTAATGAAGATACTGTATCTAGATTAGCTGTATTTGCTCAGCATGGAAATACTCCGAACATTATTATTGCTGGCCCACCAGGAGTTGGTAAAACTACCACAATTTTATGTCTGGCACGTATTCTGCTTGGACCAGCATTTAAGGAAGCTGTGCTTGAATTGAATGCATCTAATGAAAGAGGAATAGATGTAGTTAGAAATAAAATCAAAATGTTTGCCCAAAAGAAGGTAGTATACACTATATTACAAGATATAAACTTATTCCTAGAATAATATCGAGCTTCTGCACAGTTGTTTTGCATTTACAGGTGAATCTCCCAAAAGGAAAACACAAAATCATCATTTTAGATGAAGCCGATAGTATGACGGATGGTGCACAGCAAGCATTACGCCGTACAATGGAGATTTATAGTCATACTACTAGATTCGCTCTTGCATGCAATAATACAGAGGAAATTATAGAACCTATACAATCTCGTTGTGCTATGCTGAGATATGGAAAGTTAACAGATGCTCAAATTTTGGCTAAAGTTCTTGAAGTGTGTGAGAAAGAAAATGTAAGTGAAGTTTCATCAACGTTAATAATTAAATTGATTTTATTTTCTGCAGATTTATTATTTACTATGTGTAGGTTTCTTATACAGATGATGGTATGGAAGCAATAGTTTTTACTGCCCAAGGGGATATGAGACAAGCTTTAAATAATCTACAGTCAACTTACAACGGATTCAATCATGTAAATGGTGAAAACGTATTCAAAGTCTGCGACGAGCCTCATCCTTTAATCGTTAAAGAAATGTTGGATGATTGTATAAAGGGAGATGTTTCTAAAGCATGCACAGTAAGATAAAACATTGATATACTTCCAAATATGTAAAGTGTTCTGTTTATATATTATTTCTATGTAACCAGGTAATGGATCATTTCTGGAAAATGGGATATTCTGCGGAGGATATAATCAGTAATGTATTCAAAGTTTGTAAGATTCATGCTATGGATGAAAAACTAAAGTTGATGTTTGTTAAAGTAAGTTGAAATTGGTGTTGTATGTTATGTCTTATACTAAGAATACAAGTATTCGTTCTACATCTACAAAAGCAAAGGGAAATATAAAAAATTTGATTCGTTACAGGAAATTGGAATAACACATATGGGCATAGTGGAAGGTATTAACAGTTTGTTGCAATTGCACGCCTTGGTAGCACGACTTTGTCGAGCATGCGTATCGAAATAATTCCTCATGATAAAATACGATTGTATTCTACTTTTTAATATATTTATATATTTTTACTGAGCCTTGTCGCATAATTTCATTAGATTCGGTGGTATTTCATCCTGACGATTCGTTTTAGAAATAATACGTTTTATTCGTGATATCTGTATAAAGTATTACATACGGTACAGTTCATAAATCTACATCTAATTTCGATGTTGTACGCTGCATGCGACATTTGTTAATGAGCGTTTCATCAGATGCATTGCCGTATAAGTAACGACAGGACTAGCAATTAAAAAAAAAAAGAAAAGAATTTACGTTCTCATTAACTTACTCTGCTACTGCGCAAAGATATATAAAAGAAAAAAGAAATGGAGAAGGAATATTCTAGATCACCATATGTATTGCTGGTGTATAATAGTGCCGGTGCGCGCTATGAGTAAAATATAATACCGTAAATTGTAACGTACGTCTAACACATTTTGTACGAAATTTAAGCTCGTGTATGAAGCGGATTGTACTCGGAAACTTCTCGTTATTGCTCTACTCCAAAGACAGGCCACAATAACTTTGTACATTTGTACACTTAAGTAGAGTTAGTGGTATCGTAACGCTAATTCTACGGTGGAATCGCGATATTCAGTTCGCGCTCACTATCTTAACACGTGGCATTGCGCGAGCAAATATTTGCGCATTCGCCTTAATTTCCGCCTTAATTCCGGATAATCGGATAACTAGATTACACCGCGTCGAGGCCACAATCCACATTACGAATACATACAGCAGGGATTGCGAATGTGTTGTGAATACGTTTCACGCTAACCGTGATATTTCGACAAATTCGGTACGCCCAAATTACATGCACATTAGAGCTTATCAAAGCTACATATCCGGCGGCAGATTAAAGCACTTAGCGACCACAGTCATAAACTGATTTCGAAGCTTTCCAGTATCAAGCATCAAGAATCAACGGACGTTCTTCGTAAGTGGCGTTATAAGTGATATTAATTTTATTAATATCGCAATAATACAATTCGCATATCGTAATGACGCAATTCATTTCGTCACTTCCATAAACCTAAACTCGAGTTTCTACGCCTCAATCGAATCCCAAATACGTTATTAATGAGATGAAGCCCAGAGACGCGTATTTCAACATAGACGATTCATCAGTCTTATATATGTCCATTCTTACGGCCAGGATGAAAGTTTTTTTTTTCTTTTCGTTCAAGGAGGTGAGCGTGTATAAAAACCTGAACGCGAGAAGACAAACTAAAACCGTGACATGCAATCGCCAGATCTTAGATTCTATCTTCGCAGCACGACGTGCTCTTGGTGTAACGTATCGTAATAAAGTTACGCCGCACAAGTGCGTCTCTTACCTTATGCTTAATGTTAATCTCGATCATAAACAATCGAAGGAATGCGCCAGTCATCGAACTTAATAAGGCGACCTTGTAGATCGTAGCCGGTTTCAGCGCATTGCCGGCTCCTCGAGGACGTTATACTAGCCTTCTTGACCCTCGCTCTCGTCCTCCCGGCAATCTATCGTAGCATCCATCATGGTGATCGAAAAAGACCGCGGTCTTGATGAAGTCTTAACGCGCTCTCAGATTTCCCGAATGATCTATGTCGTCCGTGAAAGACGCGCAATCGCTGTTCGAAGTTATTCAACACCATTTCTCCATCGGTACAGACGTCAGGTGCGGCCTCGGCTTCGGTGAGGGCCATCGCAGCGCGCTTTGACAGGATTCCGCCCTGGAGGGCGTCCTCGGTGGCGGCTGAGGCGGCGAGCTGAGGTGAGAAGACTCCTGCGAGCTCGAGTTCGCGTCACCGTTCGCTTCGAGCGGTCGCATACTCTTCTCCGAGGGTGGATCACCGCGGTGGTTCCTCTTGGTTGGCTTCCGCGGCGTCTCGTGATGCACCGCTGTCGGCGGCGCGCTCTCTACGGACTGCAGGCTGGCTGCGCGGTGCAGCGAAAGCCGCAACGGTTTTTTCGGTGGGGCTGGGCGGGTCTTGGCCTCCTGGGAGCTGTACATAACCAATGCCTCCGAATTTTCCGACGCGCGAGATTGGGAGTCCTGAAATGAGGATGACAGAATATTCTAAGAGAGCTTGCGACGTGCTTGCTGTTTACTCTCTCGAGACGGAGGAAAATGAAATTTCAGATAAATTCATCTTAACATTAAAGACACAATGCCAAAGTCCCTTCATTTTTCTAAGGGATTTTATAAGGGATAAAATTTAAATTTTATATTCAATAATCTAATTATATGAGTAATCTAGAGCTATAAACATCTATATATCATTAATGCGTAAAATATACGAGAAGTTTTTTAGTTATTAATTCAGGAGCAGCAAAAATTTTAAAGCACATAATTAAACCAATGTCTGGACATCATTATCACGCAAATAAAATAAAATAAAATAAAATAAATAATGAAATGTATATAGTAAGAAATCAATAATAATAAAATAAAATAAAATAAAATAAAATAAAATAATCTGTAGAAAATAACGCGGAACACTTTACTAGCGATAATGAGATCCATTTAAATATCGAAATATTGAACTTTCTCTTCCTCCTCTCTCTCGTTAAAATAAGCACCTGCAAACGATAGTAAGTCGGCTCAGAATCAAATTCTAGAGATTGCAGTTGTGAGCCATTCTTGCGGCTCTTATGCAAGTGTTCCATAGCGGACTCAACACGTGGCGAGCGGCGACGCTGCACCTGCGACTGCATCGGTGACTGCTTGCAGTCGAGACTGGCCGTCGATCTGGCCAGTTGAAGTCCCTGATGCTTCTGCTTGTTCCGCGACTTGTGATGGCTGCTCGAGACACCGTCCGACGAGAAGTCGAGCTCTCGTGGACTCCTCGCGTCCGTCATGCGTCTGATGTGATCACCGTGTCTACTCCTGACTGTCGGTAGACTCTGTCGCAATTCCGTAGGGCTCCTCACGTTCAGGCCGGGTAGATTCGCTACCAGCGCGGTCACCTGAGGGCCCTTTTGAAACACCTGGAACGTCCCCATAGATACACGTGAACTTTAATATCATAAATTACGTGTACATACGTTCAGCGTGTCAAGAGACGCGCCGATTTGGAGAATTTCCAAACGAAACTGAATGATAATTCGATCAGATACATCTTCCACACGAACACTCGTTGACCGTTGAATGCTCGTTAATTCTCTCGATCGACAATCTCTTTGACGAATTTCACACGGGAGAGCTTAATTACGTCGATGATTTTACGCACTTGAACGTGTTCCTGACGACTCGGCGGTGGGTCGGCGGGCACCTCGGTTCTGCTCGGCGCCAGGAGATCCCTCACCTGCTCCTCGAGATAGCCGATCCTGTGGGTCAGCCTGAGATTGTCCGAGCGCAGTGTGCGCAGCGCTGCGAGGGACTCTCCTTTTCGCAGGACCACTATCTGCGCAGCATCCGGTGCGACGGCCAACAGCCGCGCTAGGTCGCTCCTGCCGGCTCCGACTACGAGCTTGCCATTCACCTCCAAGATCCTGAGGACAATGTCGGCCGATAAGTCGAGTTCATCTTGAGTTCAACACGAGTCATCGTGTCCCGTGTCGACGGCTCGGGCGAGTTTCCCAACCCCCTGCAGCCGGAAGAGGGTTGTCTTAAGGACTACTCTTTGAACGATATCACAAACTGATCGATATATAAATTGTAAAAAAAATGGAAAGATAAATAAAGGGTTTTATCATTCGTGTAAAATGAATAAAGAGCTAATAAAAGAGACTATATATATATAGATTATTTATTGCAATAAAAATTTATAAAATTTACTCAACTATCCGACACGATCAAGATACTGATTGAATAACAATTATTACCGCGATCGATAATTTTCTCGGCTAATATTACTTCGTCGACGTGTATTTGCCATGTCACACGAAGAGCCTAAAAGAGCTAGTGAAAGATAACAAAGATAATGGAAGCCCTTTTTGCGACCAACGTGGTATCGCGTGTCCTTGAAATTACATCCGATCGATGCATCGCGTCCTGTTGGGTGGCTCAGGCGAGTCTGTCAGCCCATGAAGCCGGAAGAGGGTTGTCTTAAAAGCTATTCCGCGCGCGATACAGCCAACGATGATACAGTCGATATAAAAGTTCACACAAAGATAGAAGGAAGAACTGAGAGATTCGTACACCCGATATGACGATGATGATGTCACGTTAATCAACGTTGTGGTGTTCGTTTGCCATGTCGCATGCAGCCGGCATTAACGAGAGATAACAAAGGTAATGGAAGTCCTTTACGTGATCAACACGATATCGCGTATCCTCGAAATTATATCTCGTCGCGGCGAGTCGGGACGAATCAACTGCGCGTAATTTGGAGCAGTTCGGCTCGATGCGCGGTCGCGATGCTGTTAGATCACTTAACTGTACTCCTGCAATTCTGTGCTTGTAATCGGATCGCACAGCGAGAAATCGAGCTTAACGAGGCGCACCAGATAATGAGCTGTGGGAACTGGAAAAAGGTTGCGGAGAGCGTAGTACACAACGCGTATTATCGTTAATTATTCCGTGAGAAGCGGCACAAGGTTCAGCCTGAAAAATTCAAGAACGTCGAATATCGAGGGAGAAAGAGGGGGGGGAGAGAGAGAGAGAGAGAGAGAGAGAGAAAGAGAGAGGGAGAGAGAGAAAGCTTCGGCTTACAACGATGACGGGAACCGCCGACCGACCCTCCCGGGATCCATTTTACGCCTGAACAACAACATCCCGGGACAACGTTGATGGCTTTCAAGTTGCGAGCGATTAAAAAATGACAGGCTTCTTCACGAAGATAAAGAGCCCCGGTTAACGAAATCTCCTTGCGGCTTGAATTCCGAGCATCCGCCGAGATCCCACCTCGACGAAGTCCGGGGATTCGCAGCCAGAGCGGGATATTACATTCGTTGTCTCGGAGATTGAAAAGTTGCGAGGGGCTGGGCTGAGCGAGAGCGTTTGCTTAAGTTTTCACCGAAGAAAAATCAACTACGCCTTCATCAAAGAATAGAGATGGCCGCCGCCAAGTTCGCTCGGCGCATCTCAACGAGCTTCCATCAGCCCCGCGTCGGTTTTAATATCGAGTTTCGAATATCCGAACTTGAAAATACTGCGCGCGCGTCCCTAAGTACACACGTATCTTTTCTCGTTTTCAACACGCAGAAGAGAAGCCCGCTGTACCAGCGGCTGAGAGACGTCAAGGCTCGCTCGAAATTAATGCGCCCTCGTCGAGCTGAAAAGTTGCGCCCGCAAAGTTTCTTGCGCCGTCGCGGGCGACGTTGGCGCCCCAGGGTCGTGCCCGGTGTAGCGAATTCCCTCGGGTGGATATACCCGGGGGAAAACGCTGGAAGGTGGGGTCATGTGAAGTCGTGAGTACAATTAACGGGGGCACATGGCGAACTTCCGGCGCGGCTTCACGCTACAGCGCGTTCCCCGTTGGGAACCGAATGTCAAGATTGCCGCATTGTTCCTCCCCGATAGCCGTGTTACGTATAGCACTACCTCCATGCCGCCGCGCAGGTACATGTACGCACATACATAACCCAGTGGTTACCCGACGGCGACGACGACGACGACAACAACAACGACGAGGACACTACCTTCCACCGCGGGTTCCGGCTTTAGCACGGCTGTGAGTTAACGAAGTTACTTGAACTCCGATGTGTTTTCAAGGTTGCTTTCTCCCGCCGATGAAACTTTGCAACGCCAATGACGCGCGAGATCAGCCGCAAAAAAGGGAAGAGCAAGAGAAAACTGAACGGAACTTTGAGCGGCAAATTTCTGAATTTTCTGCAATTTTCTGAGATTGAAAGAAGGCAAATCTTCCTTCCGAGCGACGTCGAAAAAAGTTTTTCGAGGTTCTTTCTAAATTTGTTTCTCGATAATTAGCTTTATTAAACTGTTATAATTATCAGCGTTTATCGGTTCCTTTTATTTATTATTGCTTTATTGCAAAGAAAATAATTCGTATCGGTATCGCGACGAAGAACCAACTCACTTTAAATAATTATGAACTGTTCTCGATCCGGCTGCAAATTTACCCAGAAAGATGCGAATTTAAGCGGCATCTGCAAATTTAACCGGCAGCCGCGCGTTGCGATGAATAAACAAAAGTTCCGCGACTGCACTGCGACTTCACAACGACGTTTTTCCCGGTGAAGCACTAACAGCCGGCGCGCGACATACTCGCAAACTACTTCCGCTAACTACAAATTTAATCGGAGAGGTTGCAAGAGTCGCGATGAATTACGAACGAGAGGTTCGTTTACGAAGCTCGACGACGACGGCGACGGCTTCATGATTCATCGGGAGGCGACGTGTTGTTCCGGAGCATGAATTGCGAGAGCAACGCGTGGCGTTGTGTGAGTATATGTATGTGTGTGTGCGTATGTCATGTATGTGCGTGTGTGCTACAACGTCGACAGAGAAACACGACTTTTTCTGCTCCTGTTAGACGGTGATTAAAGAGCGCGCGAAATGGAACGGTTAGCTGCGGGGCGGTTACGTGCACGGCCGCCTTTTCACAGGAGCGCGAAGGAGTGTCTCTCCTCGTCTCGTCCGCGTCGTAACATCGCGTCGTGGAGGTGAGAGCGCTAAAAGACAAAACGGCCGACAAAAGCGCGGCGTTCGATTTACGGCGGCGCGGTTTTACGCGCCCGGAAGCCTCGTAACAGCCTCAGTCGTAATTATTGCTGCGAAACTCGCAATTAGTTACCGTACGCTTCTTCAATCCGGCCGATTCTGCCGGCCGGATTCGTCAGAGACGTACGATCGATCCATTGACGGATTTTTCACCTGCGAATTTTGTACACAGCGGCGGCGAGCATGGCCGCGCGCGATGTTTATTCGATGACTTGCGAATTCTGCTGCCGGCACGACAATACGAACCTGTCCCCCTTGCAGAGACCGGAATCCTCCACGGCCCAGTCGACGTACAGGCCGATCGCATCCTCTCTGGGCCCGGCGCCGAATCGGGGACTTTTCGGGTCCGCGCTGACTTCCACCGCGTGAATCGTGACTTGTGTCGAGCCGGAGATGCAGCTGCAAGCAAGGCGGGCGAGATTTAAAGCCGATGTCGAAGCAGCCTCCTTTTCCTCTCGACGAGAATTTTCAGATATTTATATATATTTATATTTATCTATTTTGGGGAAAGAACGGAAAACTAGACCGTGTAGAGATATTCCCTTAATCCCTTAAAAGTTGATAGAATACAGTAACATTTAATTTAGATTATTTCAGTTAATCAATATTCATTTAGGTTCATTATCTAGGTTATTCAATTATCTAGGTTAATCAATATTAAATCATTAACGGCTAACATATTGACAGGACGCTCTTTTCCATTGAATTTTGATATTTTCGGCACTAATCAGTTAGATCTACAAATACAAAATAGGTTTAATACTAATTTTTAATTTTTAGAAGATAAATAAATTGACTCTTCAACTAAAAGCATTTGTAAAGTAATTATGGTGTTTAACGAGTGAATAAATCAAGCGTTGAGGATAACGAGTGTTTTCCGGTAAATTTTCGTCCTCCGGTGAATTTCGAAACTTTTCGAAAAAGTCCCGATGCATGAGATCACGTAAGTACCTGAATATCGTGTCGTTTTTTTGCTTCTCTTGAGTTTCAGCCAATTCCAGAGCGGCTTGAAGGGCTCTGCTCTCCTCGTGAAGAGTGAGCAGCTCGAGTTCCTCGCGGCCCAGTCGGTACTCCAATTCCGCCTGTTGTATTCGGACGTCGATATTGCTGAAAAGAATGATCACACGAATTTAAATCACTCACGTCACATTACAAAATTCACGCAAAGATAAAGCGCAAAGATAAGTTTGGAAAACTTTCTCTCGTTATTCGTTATCGTACGATCTCAAGTGGTCTTTTATTTTTTTATTGTGATCTCATTAATTGAAAAATTTTCCTCGTATATGCGCATACATATGGAATTATTTTTATTAATAAACACGAAGCAGCGGTTTAAAAAAAAATTTCCCATACCGGGAATCGAACCCGAGCCTCCTGGGTGAAAGCCAGATATCCTAGCCACTAGACCATATGGGATCTTATAACGGTAGCTTTTGTAGGAGTACATCCCTAGCAGGAAGAAACTACTCTTCCCACTAATAATTTCATGTTCCACTTTGTCCAATAATTGTGCAAAATTTGAATATGTTGCATTCAATAGAAATCGAGAGCAACAGCAACGCGATTGTTTTCCCGCACGGATAAATCGGCTACTTCCTTTTAGTCCTTCCTTTATCGTCATATATTCGCATATATAGTAGTTCGCGGCAACAGTACTCTTCTCAACAATGTAACTCAACAAATCTAAATTCAACAAACCGACAGTCACCTCTAACAGAACGCTCGTCCAAAGACGATGATCAAACACCTTGACCGCTTCATCAATGATAACTTGGACGCGACGACGGCGCTAGAATGAAGTAATTAAATGTCAGCTCCACGCGCGAGCACGCGCGAGCCGCGGTATATTCTATCGTAACGAAACGTATTATCATAATTACACATAGATGCGGCTTCTCGTCTTGTTCGCATTATGTCGTATACAGACGTTAAATGCGATTTCATCCGCACTCCGTCGTATTTATAGCGAGGCACCTCGCGCGCGGATACACGCGCCTCTCCGCCGGCATCATACAGCGAGTAATCACGAGGCCGCGATAACGCGCTTGAATGAGCGTGTGCTCGCGAGCGAGCGAGCGAGCGAGAGCGGCGAGATCTCGATTTCATACTTACTCCGTGATATCGAGACGCTCGAGCGCCAGCTTCAGGTTCTTAATAGCCAGTCGCTTATTGTCGGCGTCCCGTCGCAACCTTTGAAGCCGCTCCTCGGCCGCTTTCCTGTCGGCCTCGGTCAAGGGTGGCGCGCCGTTGCGTAATGCTAGTCTATTGCTCAGCGTGTTGCAGAGCTGGCCCTTGAGCCTGAAAAATAACAAAAGGCACGAATGCCGTATCGTGACTGGGAAGAGTACCACCACCACCACCACCACCACCACCACCACCACCAGCAGCAGCACTACCAGCACCGTTGCCCTCTCGCCAACTAGTACCTCGATCTCAGGAATGCACGTCGGGCACCGACAGGCCCCTCTGAAGAGTTCCTTATCTTGCCTGTACTACCTACGTATCTGAAGAGACTATCACCTGCGACTCTCTTCTCGAGATTCTGTAAATTTTTCTATCGCGTTCGCGTCTCCTTCTACCCCGTCCTATTATCCTCCTCTACTGTTGTATTGTTGAATAATACATTTTTCCATCACATGCAGAACTTTGAGGACGATTCTCCCTCGGTGAAGATGCGAGAAGATGCGTAATCATTGTAATTTATTTAGAAGAAAGAGATTGCGAGATGAACGAAACAACGACAACAGCGTAAAAGACTGAGAAAATGGAAAGAAGTAAGAAGACTGAGCGACTGGAGATTACGAGGAAAAAGTGCGGAAAATTAATGACAACAGAGATTGCGTAAGCGAGCATTTAAACGACGGAGGTGCTCCATTAAAGAAACCCACTCAGGTAGAACGCTCATTAGACACTGCGCGCAGTCTATTAATAATGCGACTGAAATTTCCATACAATAATCCCGCGCCTCTTCACGACGGAAAACAAGACAGCCCTCGCGGTCTTCTGGAGGGAGGGCGTTGAATTTCAGCCGGGTCTTATGCGATTCTCGCCGCATGCGATCATATATGCGCCTTCGAATCTCAATGTCATGAGAGCTTTCAGGTAACGTCCAACTTCTTCCGCCGGAGCATATCGCAAACCCGGCTCGCCAGCCATTTATTATTAACGCGCACGATCGTTGCAACGAAGGATCGGTACGTGATCGGCCGGCGCGTACTCCGTCGGATGCGATCGAGCACGATTACTCACGTCTGTATGATGTTTTCTTTATCGCGCAGCGCAACCCGGAGAGCGTCCAGTTCCTTATAGTGATCCCTGTTCCGGTGACCAGCGGGGGACGTGACACCTCCGGAAATGCTGCCGCCCTTCTTCCGTCTCGGCGTCGTCGACAGCGATACTTCGATGCTGGCCATCTGCGACGTGTGTATGTGAGCGAAATTAAACGACGAGAATGGACAGCCGACGTTTGATTTCGTTGGGTTAATGACAATAACAACAATAATGATAATAATAACTGTCGAGCCGGATCGATACTATACGACGGAAAATATAGATTATCGATCGCATCGCAAATAGATGCGTTCGTATCGAAGGAGCTCTCCTAGCGAGAGGCACGTCGCGAGTAGGATGATTTTCATCGATTAATCGAAAGAACCGACAGCTTTTTTCAATTAATCGATGTTTTCAGATGATTTTATTTTTACTCAGTTAATCGACGTTTCGATAATTTTTTCTCAACATTGGCAACTGATTTTTATTTTTTTCAGATACGGTGAATAAAATTTATGAACGTTAAGTCCGAATCTACAATAAATATAATAAGCTTTAAGTTTTAAGAAATTGGCCAACCGTGGTCAATTATTCTTGCAAAAGTAGGTTCGGATTGATTAATTTTTTAAGGTGTAAAGTTTACTACATCTATTGTACAGTCATGGACAATAGGGTTGTCCAGTTTTTATTGATAAGTTTTGCCTAATAAGAGCACTTATCTTCCCAAAATTAGTTCTCTTATCATATGGAAAACATCAACAATCAAATGAGATGTCAAGTTAAAGGCCTCGCACACTAATGTGATTAGCGACGAACAATAAACGATATCTAATGAGAGTTCTGTTTTAAAGAAGAAATGAAAGCTTTTTCTTCTTAAAACAGAAGATCTCATTAGATATCGCTCATAGTACGTCGCTAGTCGCGTCCAGTGTGCAAGATCCTTTAGGAGGATTTCTAGTAATACTGAGAATACTACGAGTGTCACTCTATCCTTGTTTAACATTCAGTGAGAAATAAAGATCGAATAACCCCGGCTACATCTGTTGCGAATTTAAGAACGCATCCAGCATGTAAGCAAGGAGAGCATCCGAGTGATGTTTTCAAACGCACCCCTAGCAGCGTTTAATCTGGTGCTAATCAATTTAAATGTTTACTTCGTAAATTTAATCGATCAATCGATTAAATCTAAAAAATTAGAAAATAATCGATGTCATTTCAATTTTTTTGTTATTAATCGATATTTTAAACATTGATGTATTTTCGAACATCGCCCGTCCCTAGTCGCGAGCACGTGGTCGCTTCCTTCAAGGCTGCCTATTTGATTAACTACTTTTCTCCGTGGTATAGCTCGGGGTGAACAACTATCATCCTCTTGATATAATGGACACATTATACATACTCAATTTTCGCATGTGCGAACAAGCAAAGCAATTTGCCTAACGACGAAGGGCATAGGTCTTCCAGGGGATACGACGGATACGACGTTGCAAATAATTCCTCGGACATGAATATTTATAAACGATCGTGCCCGTGCTCGCAGAAAATTATAACTGCGCCGTTACTCGTCGCGCTTCCCGCTGCGAACGTTTATATATAAAAAAGAGGGAGAGGGGGAGGAGGAGGAGCAGGAGGAGGAAAAGAGAGAGAGAGAGAGAGAGAGAGAGAGAGAGAGTGAAAGCTATGATAACTTTAGAACTTTTATCGTGCATTGAATAATTTTCACATCGAACGTTATAGTTAGCCCTTCGCAGCTATAAAGTGAGCGACGGCCGTCGTTGAAAATGTTGATAGCCGAGGGATTAATAGCTTCGCAAATAAATCATGTTACACAAACGCGGGAAAAAATTCGATAAACGGGTTGGACGCTGTGCGTGCGTACGTGCGTGCATGCGTGCGTACGTGCGCGTGCGTGTACACATGTATACACACGCACACGGACGTAAAAGTTTCGTTTTTCACAGTGACATGAGATATTATGTACTAACGTTATATTTTATATCAATGTCAGGATCTTTAATCCCGTATTAGTTTAATGGCATCCGCGGGACCGGAAAATATGACGTACGACGGGTGTCTCTCTCCCTCTCTCGTCCTCTCCACCTCCCTCACTCTCTACAAATTACTCGCAACGATAAAAGATAAAATCGATGAGCCTCTCTCTCTCTCTCTCTCTCTCTCTTCTTTCTCTCTCTCTCTCGTGCACGCGCTGTGCATTCGTTTGTAGCCGGCCGGCTCGGCGTGTATTCCACGGCGTTCGCGTCGGAGGTGCCGGCTGAGGAAGGCCGGCGCAACTATCAATTATTCGGATTCCGAGGTGCTCGCACCACCTCGTCGAGATACTCTTCCTCCTTCACCGTTGTACCCGTCGCTCCCCATTTTCCTCAGCGTCCTCAGCGGCGCAGAGACACGAGAAGCTCGAACATGAGGAGATCGCAGAAGACGACGACGACGACGACGACCAGGAGAAGGAGGAAGAAGAAGAAGAAGAGGTCCGCGGGGGAGGATCGGCACGCGGCATGAATACAAATTTATCGTTCCATTAAACCTATGATTTGCGACGACGGTCGGGGCGGGATGTCTCGGCCTTAATGGGCTTCCAGCGTCGGTACTGCACACGACATTGCTCTCTCCCCCCTTCTCTCTCTCTCTCTCTCTCTCTCTCTCTCTCTCTCTCTCTCTCTCTCTCCCTCTCTCTCTCTCTCTCTCTCGTCTCTCGACGGTCCTTGAGGAGACGGCACCTCCGCTCTCTTTCGCCGGTCGTCGCAAGAAGGTCAACGCTGGCCCCGCGAGCTGACTTCAACGACCAACGAAGACCCGTGGACCGATATGAAGCCTCTCTCACTTGGCGTTGAGCGGACCACCAGCCAGGCGCGTATGCAGAAAATCGACCGCGAACCGGATATCCCCGGTAAGACAGAGCGACGTTGAAGACGACTGCTCGCGATTCGTGATTTACCTTGCCGCGCGTCTCTCTTCGTCCGCGGCTGCGCTTGAGATCCGTAATGGACAGCCACCCCCACGCTGTTCGGGCGATGTTCGTGCAAAAATCGCTTCGGAACGAAGATATCGAGTGAGAAATTTAATTTAACATTTGAACGCCATGTATCCGTTATTTATTTCTGATTCTTTTCCGGGGGGAAGATTATCGCTTTATAAAAAAATGTTCGTCGATATTAGTCTATGTTAATAACGCTGTAGAATATGGGACGCTTATGTGAAGATTTATGAAAGATTTACGGATTTATGTATCACAGGGATGTTCATCTCTCTTTAAACACGGTTTAAGCCCTCGAAAGGCGGATAAACATTTTCCATATAACGCGGCTGTCAAAATGTTTAACACGTTCGCGACAATCAATAAATCCATTGGTTCACTCTAAAGGACGCACAATTTATTTTTTAATATATCGTTTCTTTGCGTTTGTTTTATAACAAAAGGCTTTGCTTTCGTCTTATTCAATGAATTTTTAGGCATTTTACTGACTTTTGAAGGTGCACCACCACCGGTGGGTCATGACGGCCTGGAGAGATAATTTTCCCTTATACCGGTGTGACCCACCGGTGGACACGCACCATTCTATTAATATAAACCAGTGTGACCCACCAGTGGGTCACGATGTCGCGAACGTATTAACTATCACAAAGCGGGGGATACTTTTCAAAAATCGGGAATTACTCAAAAGTGGTTCGCACAGTTTTAGAAATGCATTGGAGAGGAGCCATTAATCGTCGCGGAAGGGATCTGAGAGGTCGCGGAGTCATCGTGAAACACAGCGAGCGCGCCTATTAATCATCATCAGCCTGTACCGAAAGTAACCTCCGCAGGTGGAAAAAATCCGCTCGGGAAGGATCAACCCGGCGGAAGGATCTACGTCGAGAGTTCCTCCGCGTTAACGTCGATCGAGTGCGCGCGATTCCTACGAGAGAAAGAGACTCGTCGATCCTCGCGGGCCGATCTCTCGTCGGGCGCGCGGCGACAGAAAAATCGCGCGAGCGAGGATCGTTGAACTTTGAACCGCTCGAGAGGAGTTTTGCAAGTCGTGGCGGCGGCGACGATGGCGACGGACGTTCCCGCGGGAATAGATGCATCCGGTTTATCGTCGTCGTCGTTCCGAGACGCCCGGTTGGTGGTCCGTTGTCTCGTTCGAGACACACTATGCCCACGATACTCCCATATCGCATCTGCCTCCATCACGAGAACGGCACACACTCGGCCGGCGACGGAGGAAACATCGACCTCCGTTGCATCGCCAGGAGGGACAGCGTATCCTCTCAAGGACCATGTATCAAGAACCGCGGTACCGTGACTCCGAACCTCCCGAGGGGTCGAAGGTCTCGAAGCCTTTGACTCGCGAGTTCTGTCTTGGCGGTGCTGCACGTGGAACGAATTCGCGGGAATCGATGATTCTTCATTAAGAAACGGCGCCGCGCGAGAAGCCACGACCGTGTCGTGATCGATATTGCGCGCTTTTCTTCTCTCTTCTTCTTTCTTTCCCCCTTACGCAACATGACGATTGTTTTCTTTTCCTTTCTCAGAGCGCACGCAGCGGGGTTCCTCTCCGGAAAAGTTCGCGAGGGAGAAGAAAGTTTGAGACTTCCCTCTTCGCTTTTCATTTCGGCGGAACGTGACTCTCCTCGCGATGTAACTCCCTCAATTTCAACAGCAGCTTCCGAAAGCTAATAAGAGTCCACGCGAGTCCAGAGCGAAGTGTCGATCGCAAAATCCACAAACGAAACAACGAACCTCCTCCTAGGAGCCTCCGACGTCTCCGAGAGTTCGCCAAATCCGCAAATCCTGTTGATCGCAGCTTTGCTCCTTTATCCGACATTTTTCTTCCAATTTCCCGCTGTCGCTCAGAGTTCGAGCCGGTCCGTCGACCGATCGAAGGTGCGCGATCGAAGAGAGCGGCGAGTCCCCGGATCCTCCTCGGGTAATTTCTCGGGACTCGTCGCGACTCGCTCGTCTCGCGGTGCTAAACCCTCAGCACCGTCGCTGATTTAGTGTATCAGGCGGATCCATGTACATTTGTTTTCCAGCACGCGTGGAAGATAAGCGGTGCGCCGGCCGGTCGGCCGGCCAGCCAGCCGACGCGACACTTCTCCCCTCTCGCTCGTCACGCGCTCTCCTTCGTGCGCATCGTGC